CTGCCTATTCACTTGGGTGTTTGTAAACCCTAGCTACAATTATGTGAATGCTTGTATAAATTGAATGATTTTTGTTTTAATGTGAATGTGGAGGTATTATTCAGAAATGGTTGTGTTGTGTGAAAGCCTATCAATCTAATTGTCATTCTAACCTAGCTTAGAGTGGAGACCTCCTTAGGTTAAGATGCTCAATATTGAGATGGGTGCTCTTGGGCATTTCATGCCTCCTAGGCTAGTTTAAAGAGGAAACCTCCTTAGTTTAAGAGGCTCAATTTGAGATGGGTGTTCCTGAGCATTCCATGCCTCCTAGACTAGTTTAAAGAGGAAACCTCCTTTATCCAAAGTGGCTCGATTTTAGCTGGCTTTCCTCCAGAACTAGTTTAGAGAGAACCCTCCTTAGCCTAAGAGGCTCTATTAGAGATGGGTTTCCTTGGGCATTCAATGCCTCCTAAGCTAGTTTAGAGAGAACTCTCCTTAACCTAAGAAGCTCTATTGGAGATGGGTTTCCTTGGGCATTTTATGCCTCCTATTCTAGGTTAGTTAAAGGGCAAACCTCCTACTTTGCATAAGCACTTAGGGTTTGGTTGTGGGTGGCCGTCCGAATTCCAATTCGAGGGTGAAGTCTAACCATTCCTTACTCGATAGGTTGAGAGGGTCAAATTAGTGGCTTGGATCGTATCCCATTCCTCAACCTAGAGGCTAAGAGGGTAGTTTTGGCTGCTTGTTAGACTTCTCTGCGGTCACCACACACGGTCGCTCGATCCAACAAGTCGTAATTGAGAGCGTCTTCGGAGTCAGAGTCCGCAACATACCACATCTTCGTCCGAATAGCATCACTAAATAGTCTCTGAGCCGCTCCCATACCAGCGGCCCAAGCCGAGGTCGTTTTCGCCGTTGGTGAGATGCTTCTTTGCCTTTCATCACTGGTATGTCCCTGCCTCTCAGCTGTCGGGCTTGGAATCCCCTGGAACACCATTGTTGGATTTGCCCGTTTCTTGGATTGTTGGGTTTCGCGTTCCCCCTTAGGGTTCGGCGAGGAGGACCCGATGGGAGGTCGACGTTGCCCAGTTACTCTCTCGTCCTGCATGCTAACATCCGGGCTCCCCCCCGGCCAACGGTGCTGTCACCGCCGGCATGGGAAAAGCGATGGAAAATCCTATCTCGCTTCGCCAAACACAATTCCTTTTCGCCCCTGATTTTTCGGAGCGCCTGCTCTCCTATCAAGAGCAGGTTTTTTAATAATTTTGACTACATTATTAATATGCTAGGAAGGTATTATAAGATAAATAACTTAATTACGAAATTGCCTTATCTCCCTTACTATTGCTATCTTGGCTTATTCCTTTTTCTTTCACCATCTTTTTCGTAAGCAATTATGAAGTTACCTTATGTCCTTTTACTTTTCATGTCAATATTTCTATTGAGGCGTTGAATACTACAAGAAATTTATCTTATAAATAGCAAAGCCAAATACAAACGCTATCATACAAGTGAGAAGACATAAAACTAAAATATAGATTTATATCCTTCTATTAAGTTTCCAAGAGAAATGGCTACGTCTTCAGCACTATACTCCTTGTTCTTCCTTATGTTCATCACGTCATTCGGTAAACTTTCTTACAATAGTTGTAAAAAAATAATCCGTTTTATGTACCACAAATATGTTAAAATATTTTCTGAGTGTTCTTCTTGGCATCTCTTTTCATTTCATAAATTTTATTTTGAATCCTTCATGATATGGATGCATATATTAGTTAATTGATTTCCTTATGTACAATTAATTATACATGTGTGCTAATTGAAAAGGTGGAAACAAGATGATATCAGAGGCTAAACACTGTCACACGACTTGGGACTGCACCACCTTGGATCGCTGTTGGGATGAAAGCTGTCAAAGCCTTCACCTCCTCAAACTCGAAATTTCATTCAAAAATACGGGGAAAACGCAAAAGGCAGATTGGAGGAACGAAGAGGATAGAGTTCCTACTCTCCCGGAACCGAAGGGCGAAGGGAGCGAAAGAAAGTAGCTCGAACTTTGTGAGAGGAACGAAGTAGCTCGACTGGTTGGAGAGGTTATGCAATACTCGACTGAGTTGGAGAGGAAGATAAAGACTGAGAAGACCTCCGCTTCGGCTGAGGATCCGGCAACAACGGATTGTTTCTTGGTACGCCATGAAATCGGAGCGGCTCCCCAATGTAACAAAATAACCTGTTGTGGATCTTCGAGTAAGAGCACAACCACCCCAGTCTGACTGCAAGAGCCGCTACGGCGGGAGAGGACTTTGTGATGCCATCCCACCTCCCGCCAATCCTAAGCAATGCTTTTGTTATTATGAATGTTAAGAGGGGAGAAAAATATACATCGTCAATAATTCTTATTAATAAGAAGTGTTATAGTTATATATATGGCTAACAAAATGTGTATGCTTGGGTTATGTTTTTTTATCATTGATGCAACACATAAGAAGGAGAATGACTTTAATCTTGGGAAGATCTCATGTAGTTCTTTCAACAAAAGAACTAAAAGAAATACTAAGAAAAAGATGATTAATTACAGGGGGGAAAGAGAATTGGGACAAAAAAACATAAAAAGCAATACGTGAATCATTTTCGTTTTGACTTTTTTTCATTGGGAACAACGCTTTTTATTAAGACTGAAATTTCGGAATTTTAGTTGAGGTTGCCCCTCATGTTCAACCCAAAATTTGAATTTTCTAGTTTCAGGCCCACAATGCATACTTATTCTAGGGACGAATTTAGGTGGGCTCAGACTCCGCTAATTATTATAGGGGACAGATTAGCATGGGCGTCCCTAATTTAACTTAAGTTATATTTTCGGTGACAAATAAAAAGGATTGTCCCTTATGCTAGTCCACATAGCTCATTATTTTGTAGTGTAATATAAATTATAGATAGGCAGATATATATAAGATTTTTTATTTTACCTATTGGTGCATATGTATTACTTCTTGATACCAAAATAGTGATGATTGAGGTCGGATCCTGTGATTAGGGGGGTGCTTAGTCACTTAACTAAGTCCCTCCCAATTTTTAGATTTGGACACACCAATCTGACAGTTAAAAAGTGAAAAACGCTTTTAAATTATAACAAGGGTAGTTTGGGTATTATGGAAAATTACGAAGTATACAAACCGTGCTTACAAATAGTACAAACCATACAAACATACGAACAATACAAACTAGAGAGACAAAACATACAAATAGATTCACAAACAATGCAGATTAGGCCACCAAACATTACAAAACTTACTAACAGTACAAAATGCCACTACTTATAATACAAAACATTAAACTTGTATTGCAAATCAATGAATACAAAATATACAAATCACAACATAAAGTATACAAACAAGACAAACAAACATTACAAATTACAATGTATACAAACTAGTCATATAAAAATTACAAACATAATAGATAAAAATAACAAACTAGAATGATAAAAGATACAAACCGAATTGATACAAACATTACAAAATAGTCCGACAAACATCACAAAGTTGGCGCTGCCGCTGAAAAATTTCCCGTCATCGGAAAATCCTCCTCCGCCATCTTCGGAAAATAAAAAAGCTCACCCTCTCCCTCTCTGGGTAGCCGTGCAAATCAACATGGAATGGGGAATGGGGGATGAAAATCCCACCCCACCGCCAGTGGTTATAGGACGTCGGGATCCCCGGAACTCCAGAATCCAAATAGGTGACGCCGAGATGAAAAACCCGCCGGGAACCTAGTAATCGTCAATTAAATAAATTTGCTATTACTAGATTACCGTTCTTTAAATGAGATCAATTACAACCCTTAGATTTTAATGAGACTCAATGGTTGAGATTGACTTAGTCATGTGACTAAGTGACCCCCCTAGTCACCTGATCTTAGCCCGTGATAATTCATACTATAGTTATTTACTTATTCTTGATTTTTTTCTCCCTATTAGCTTTGATTTCTCTATAAATTTCTCGATTTGAAAATGAAAATTTATACATAATGTTTATCTCCATTGAAAAATTATCTTAAGTATATGACTTACATTATCTATAAATCTGATTTGAAAACCTCATTTCCTAACTCCTATTGCATATATTTTTCAGACGTATTTCTCAATTCATTAACAGAGATGATCTCGACATAGTCATTTTTTCTTCTTTTTCAGACGTATTTCTCAATTCATTAACAAATTATTAAATGTATTTTTTGAATGAACTTCTTGATTTGAGAACCAATATTGATCCATAATAATGTTCATCTCAGCGGCCACGTATGGGAGCTTTTCTTTCAAGTAGTTTAACAATTTGTTCAAACATGAAAAATATTCATCTTCATCTTGATATTTTATGGTATTTGTAATACGCTCTGCATTTTAGAACATGATAGATCCTAACCGTGTAGTGTTTAATTCCACAAGAACAAAAACCAATCTTCTCCTGACGCACTTGTGCTCTTCCTTCGATAGAAAAAATCTCTATGTTGTTATTTTCATGTTTCCTCTATGCGCTTTTCAATTTGAGAAATACCATAAAACCTAATTATGATATATTGATTTGTGTACTCGAATCGCTCTGGAGTCTTTTTTTTCTCCTTTAATGAAAAATTCTCTTGATATGTTGTTTAGTGCGCTATTTCGAACTAGCTTCTCGATTTAACTACGATGGATTTTCAGCAACGTGACAAAGTCTTCACCATTCAAACCAATCCTTCCTTCGAGGCAAATTCTATTACATTGCTCGGTTATTTTATGCGTTCTTCTAACTTGCTACTCAATCCATGAATGACGATGAACCCTAACATCTAACATGAAAAAATGCAATCACCTTGTTATTTATATTTATGTATTTTACCTAATTAATCATTATGTAGACCATTAGTTCACCCAATCAGACAAAATTTCAATCCACAACTTCAGCAGACTTCAACAGCGCTTGTCGGAGCAGGTCGTTCATGGTCCAGTTTTGCTCTGTTGTCTCTGTTAGAAACGGAACAACAACAAGATGAGGATACCGAATCTGGAGCTGAGTCGCGGACTAGGTCGCTTTCTTTAAGACGTTCGCGGCACTGCCCTCGATGCGCACGGCAGACTATCAACCGGTCGTCTCCAGGATAAAACAGCTCCTCTGTGTACTCTCGGTTTTGTGCGAAAACCGGAACTCTCTGAACACTCTCTCTATTGTGTTTATGCTCGTTGTGGTGTGTTTAGAGGGGCTGGGGAGGCGGCTATTTATAGGAGCCGAACCCCTAGGAATATACCCTCTTGCTTGGGGAATAAGTCGGATTAATTAAGGAAGATAATTACTTCCTTAATTAAAACCGTCGGTTAGGATAAATCCTGCGGAGATTATCCTTCGAATATTCCTTTTCAATCGATTATCCCTTGGAATATTCCTTAGAATAACCGATTAATAATTAAATAATTAATTTCGTTCGGAATTTCTCCAAAAAATATGTATATAGTCTCAAGTGATCCATCCATCCATCCAACCAACCGACCTATCGGTCGGACGGACGGCGCGCGCGCGCGTGTGTGTGGTGGTCCGTTAGGTCCTCCCTCTCCCACAAAAGTGGGTCACCCCAAGGGGCATGCCCTTAGGAGAGAGGCTCCTATCTTTATACTCATTTCACCAAGTAAAACTACCAATGTGGTAGTTTTTCCACTTGAGACTCTATAGCTTTCAAAGCTATTCATACACATTTCCAACAATCCCCCACTTGAATAGTTTTGAAACTATCTCTGAGCATTAACAGTTCCATAAGATCGGGCATAAGCTAAGGTATCACGAAGATTTGAACCTTAGCGTAGTGGTTACACTTCCGATTTCATAAGGGTGACTCGTAGTCTTGAACCTTATCTCAGACAGTGTAGCACATCGGATCTTTTCATTGAGTTGTGTTCTCTTCTTAGCCCGTGCGTTTATGGCCATGCACGTTATCCTGGTTTAGTGAACGCTCTAGCAACTTTGTGCCTCTCAAAGTTCCATAGGGAGCGGCCCCACTCCCACATTCACATAGGTGAGTCTATCAGGAGTACCCCCAAAGTAAAGTACTCCACCCCACATTGGGTATAGATCTCATTAAGAGTTATTAACTCAACCTCCATTGCTTTGGGATTCATGCTTCATTATGCATGAACTTTTCGCATACTACTCATGACTTGTTATTACCCATTGAACCCATTTCTTGGGATCTCCAGTCTATTGGGTCGGGTTACCATCACTTGTAGTCCGTGGTTCGGTAGGCATAAGTCCCATACCCTTGGCGGTATTCTGGACTTTCTCTCTAGGTAATCCTTTCGTCAAAGGATCAGCTAGATTCTGTTCGGATCTTATATGATCCACCCTCACTGCTCCTATCGTTAGGAGTTCTCTAACAGTACTGTGCTTACGACGAATCTGTCGTTTCTTTCCGTTATAGAACCGGTTCTCAACTTTAGCGATAGCTGCGGTACTATCACAATGTATCAATACCGGAGGGACCGGGCTTTCCCATAGGGGAATCTCTGACAACAATCCTCTCAACCAACTTGCCTCTTCACTAGCCGTTGCTAGTGCTATCATCTCTGATTCCATAGTTGATTGAGCTAGGATTGTTTGTTTCTTTGACTTCCAAGACACAGCTCCACCAGCGATGTTAAAAACATATCCGCTGGTTGCCTTGGAGTCATCTGATAGGGTATTCCAATCCGCATCACTATACCCTTCTAGTACAGCGGGAAACCTTTGATAGTGTATACCAAGGTTTGCTGTTCTCTTGAGGTATCTCATGACCCTCTCTATAGCATTCCAATGCTCTCTACTAGGACAGCTGTTAAACCTGCCAAGCAATCCCACGACATATGCAATGTCTGGTCGAGTGTAATCCGCAGCATAACGGAGACTGCCAATGATGCTAGCATATTCTGTTTGTCTTACACTGTCTCCAGTGTTCTTGAATAGCTTTACACTAGCATCATACGGAGTACACGCAGGTTTACAGTCGAAATAGTTATACTTCTTCAAGATCTTCTCTATGTAACTAGATTGATCTAGAGAATAACCATTTGCTGTTCTAGTTATCTGGATTCCAAGCATAAACTTTGCTTCTCCCAGATCTTTCACCTCAAAGCTCTCTTTTAACATGGCTTTCGCTTCATTGACCACGTGAATATTTGTACCAAATATCAACATGTCATCTACATACAAACATATGATAGTGCAAGTGTTATTCTCTGACTTGCAGTAAATACACTTGTCACTTTCATTCACCTTAAAGTCATGTGAGAGAACGAGAGTGTCAAACTTCTCATGCCACTGTTTTGGAGCCTGTTTCAAACCATATAATGATTTGTCCAACTTACAGACTTTCGAGGCATGTTCAGGGATAACAAACCCTTATGGTTGTTCCATATAGATTTCTTCATCTAGATCACCGTTCAAAAAAGCAGTCTTAACATCCATTTGGTGTACCACGAGATTGTTCAAGGCAGCAAGAGCAATCATGACACGAATGGATGTTATTCTAGATACTGGTGAATAGGTGTCGAAGAAATCTATATTCTCTCTCTGCCTGTAGCCCTTGACTACTAGGCGAGCTCGGAACCTTTCGATTGCACCATCAGGTTTCCGTTTCGTTTTTAGAACCCATTTATTACCTAAGACTTTGCAGCCAGGAGGTAAGTCTGTTAGATGCCAAGTCTTATTAGCCTCTAACAATTCCATTTCATCTATAACGGCCTCATTCCAAAAGTCTGCATCTATGGAAGTTAATGCTTCCTGCAAACTTTTTGGATCCTCTAGGGTGTATACTGTAGTAAAGTCATCACCAAAATCTTTAGAGATTCTAGCTCTTTTACTTCTTCTGAGTTCATCCTCAGATCCAACACCCCCACTTGTTCCGTTATCTCTAATAGCGGGTAGTACATTACCCCCACTATTTCTCGTTTTAAATGGAAATCGTGTCTCAAAGAAATCAGCATCAATGGATTCTATTACTGTACGAGCATTCAAATCATAGAATCTATATGCCTTACTATTGGCCGCATAGCCAACGAAGACACATTCATTATGCTCGACTAGCCAACTTAACCCTCTTAGGATCAGGAATTCTTACGTAGGCCAAACAGCCCCACGTTCTTAAATAGGACAGATTAGGTGGCTTATTCTTCAAGATCTCATAGGGTGATTCTTTTCTATTTGTTTTTGGAAGACGATTTAGCACATAGCAAACCGTCAACAAAATATCACCCCACCAAGAAGAAGCAGCTCCAGAATTGAGCATAATAGCCACAACTAATTCTGTAAATGTCCTATTTTTCCGCTCAGCTTTACCATTCATTTCTGGTGAATATGGTGCCGTGGTTTCATGAATGATACCATGTGAGCTATAGAATTCCTTGAAGGGATTAGAGTCATACTCTGATCCTCTATCGCTCCTAAGTCTTTTTATCTTTCGATTGCACTGATTTTCGAATTCAACCACAAATACCTTGAACATGTCAAGGGCTTCACTTTTGTTTTTCATCAAATAAACAAAGCAATAATCAGAGAAATCATCTATGAAAGTGATAAAGTATCTCTTGCCAGACCTAGTTAACGTCCCATCTAGTTCACAAATATCATAATGAATCAGATCTAAGGGTTCTGATTCTCTACTCACAGATTTATGGGGCGTTTTCGTTATTTTAGCTTGGCTACAGAAATCACATTTATCAAATTCATTCATTGAGAGTTTAGGGATATGTCCTAGCTTGCTTAAATTCTTCACAATTCGTGTGTTCACATGACAAAGACGAGCATGCCAAACATTCAAATCACACACCATGTAAACTGAAGAATTCATCTTATTAATTTCGACATTCAACTTGAACATCCCATTACATGCATATCCCTTTCCCACAAAACTCCCATTCTTAGTAAGAGTATACAAGTCTGCCCCAATAGATTGATTAAACCCAGCCTTATTAAGAAGATATCCCGAAACAAGATTCTTCCTTATCTCTGGAGTGTGCAACACATCCTTAAGCACCATCTTCTTCCCAGAGGTGAAGTTCAGCTCCACTTCACCAGAACCAGCAACCATAGTGGTGTGAGTAGTCCCCAACAGCACTTTCTTGTCAGCAGGTGCTTCTTAATATGTTTTAAACATAGCACGATTGTTGCATACATGCTTCGATGCACCTGTATCCAGCCACCATCCTTCTGAGTCACCAGTGAGGTTAACTTCAGCGATCATCTCTGTGATCATGGCTACCAAATCCTCTTCTGTCAAGTTAACCCTGGCCGCAGCGGCGGGGTTATGCTTGTTCCTGCACTTTTTTGCCATATGACCCGGTTTTCCGCAGTTAAAGCAGATAAACGGTGGGTCATTCTTAGAGGTTTGGGCCATGACCCTTTGGTTACCTCGAGAGGCACCATTCTGGTGGGGGCGGACCTGCTGGTTCTTACCCTTAAACCCTTTCTGGTTAGGTTTAAGAGCTCTAGGGGTGGATCGTTTAGCAGTGACGACCATCACCTCTTCTTTCATATCCTGCTTGCGGGACTCTTCCTCAATCCTTAGGCGAGTAATCAAACTTTCCAGTGAAAATTCTTTGGTTTTATGTCTAAGCATATTCTTAAAATCTTTCCACGAATGGGGCAGCTTATCAATAATGCAAGCAACTTGAAATTGATCGTCCAGAGGCATACCTTCAGAGACGATCTCGTGAGCTATTTTCTGAAGTTCGTGGGACTGAACTTCGACAGACTTGTCATCCACCATCTGGTAGCGCAGGTAGCGGCTGACAGCATACTTCTTAGCTCCAGCCTCCTCCGTGTCGTACTTCTTTTGGAGCGCATCCCAGACCATCATTGCGGTGTTCTTGCTGTCCGCATAGTAGTCGTAGAGGTCGTCTGCCAGGCCGTTGAGGATGTAGCCCTTGCATAGGAAGTCATGCTCCCTTTCTTTAGCAGAAGCAGTCCTCTCCTCATCGGTCGCTTCTTCCGGCAGCTCGACGGGCATGCTAGTGAGGCAGTGTGCCAACTTCTTGGTCGTCAGGTAAAACTCCATCTTTTGTTTCCAGCGACGAAAGTTGACTCCAACGAAGCGAAACGGTCGATTGATATCGACAGCACCAGATCCGGCCATGTTGTTCTGTTCAGTCGACATAGCAGCAGCCGAACGTCTTAAAATTGTTAGAAACGGAACAACAACAAGATGAGGATACCGAATCTGGAGCTGAGTCGCGGACTAGGTCGCTTTCTTTAAGACGTTCGCGGCACTGCCCTCGATGCGCACGGCAGACTATCAACCGGTCGTCTCCAGGATAAAACAGCTCCTCTGTGTACTCTCGGTTTTGTGCGAAAACCGGAGCTCTCTGAACACTCTCTCTATTGTGTTTATGCTCGTTGTGGTGTGTTTAGAGGGGCTGGGGAAGCGGCTATTTATAGGAGCCGAACCCCTAGGAATATACCCTCTTGCTTGGGGAATAAGTCGGATTAATTAAGGAAGATAATTACTTCCTTAATTAAAACCGTCGGTTAGGATAAATCCTGCGGAGATTATCCTTCGAATATTCCTTTTCAATCGATTATCCCTTGGAATATTCCTTAGAATAACCGATTAATAATTAAATAATTAATTTCGTTCGGAATTTCTCCAAAAAATATGTATATAGTCTCAAGTGATCCGACCGGTCGGACGGACGGACGGACGGCGCGCGCGCGCGTGTGGTGGTCTGTTAGGTCCTCCCTCTCCCACAAAAGTGGGTCACCCCAAGGGGCATGCCCTTAGAAGAGAGGCTCCTATCTTTATACTCATTTCACCAAGTAAAACTACCAATGTGGTAGTTTTTCCACTTGAGACTCTATAGCTTTCAAAACTATTCATACACATTTCCAACCGTCTCCGGCTTCAATTCCTCCGCTACATGCCTCGTGGATTCCGATGATATTAACAACAAGATTGTGATGTACTTTAATTAAGCATCCCCTATTCTAAAAACGAATCAGGAAAAGAGTTGAATTCAATTCGAACTCGACAAGGAAAGAATAACTTCATTGTCGAGCTGGAACCATATCAAGTAGTCAGCAATTTATCCACTTGTTGTTACTTGGCAGAGATATTGTGCATGCATGTATATTGGTGGGTCTGGCTAGAATGTCATCCATCCCCTTATCGTGGATTCTGCTGCTTCTTTTCTTGAAAACCCACTTGGAATTATTCTCTTCAAACTCTTCTCCGCCTTCCTTTCTCCCTCCAACTTTCTTTAATTATATGCTTTGGCTTTAAAGGATAACGAAATCTGAATTGCTTTTCATCCTACGTTCTCTCTCATTTTTGTGATCCAACCCCTCTTGATTATATTCTTGCAATGGGATGTCAATCCAATCCTTAATCATGGGTACCCTACCCGACCGTAACCGGTCAACGAGGGTAATTACCCACTTTGACGGGTTAAGGGGCAGGTACGGGTAATACCCGGTTTCAAAATAAAGGGTAGGGTACGGGTATGGTAATAGTAGACTGTCCCGTACCAAATACAAGGCATCTTCTAGTTTCAGTTATAACTTATTTACTCAATCTAGTATCATAGGCTGTCCCGTACCAAATACAAGGCACAAATTTAACTAGAATGACTATGTTTGAGAGTAGTTGAGAACCCAAATAGATGATGGGAAACCTCCTTTCGATCACATTTTTATATTTAAAGAATTACTAGGTGACGATGTCGCGTCTTGTCGCGGACGGAGATGGCCTACGGCAGGGGCGGAGCTACATTGTAGCTAGGGTGGGCCCCGGCCCCCCCGGGATTGATCCCGGCCCCTAGGTTTTTAAAGATATTTCGTACAAATTTTAGAAGTAGAACATGTTCTGTAAATTATATGATCAAATAGTTATGTGGTCTAATGGTAGCCAAGCTTAACTTGTGTATTATAGCACATGGGTTCGATCCACATTGGTTACATAATTTTTTTTTTAATTATTTTCGGCCCCCCCGGTCTCGAAATCCTGGCTCCGCCCCTGGCCTACGGGCAATGTATTATGTGGCCCGTTATAGTGTTTTGTTAGTATTATTAGCCTAAATTTTTTATAGCAATTTTGTTCGTAATATTGATTTGACAATATGATATTTACCGAGAAGAGATGTATGGCTATCAACATCCAATTTACAAATTTTTGAAAATTTTGGCTAATAAATGATATTTACATAAACCCAAGTAGATTCATTGATTATGGGTAGGGTATGAGTGACGTATATATGAGTTTGGAAGTTTGTAGATGGGTTTGGATAGGGTATGGTATCTACCTCCATAATCTAAATGTGTATGAGTTGGGGATGGATACCCATTTATTCGAGGGTGTTTTAATTACACATACAAAAATTAGACCTATTTGTAGAACTTCAAAAGTTTAGGTACCAAAATATCATACACAAAATTTTTAGAACTTCAAAAGTTTAGGTTCCATCAATATTTTGAGGACTTATTGCCAAGAAAATTAATATGAGGAATTATGTGCCAAAAATTAATTTTAGGTTATAAATCTAAAGATCTTTTAAGTTTAGGTACCGAACTGTAATTTGCATAGTAAAGGCTTAATTCCTTTTATGATGATGTATTTAAAAGGATAATTGTTTAATTTTTTATAGAAAAATGGAAACTATTATTTGATATGTGCAGATACCTAGCCAAATATTCCATGTATAATCGTTGATAATTCTAGCCCGGGTGAAAAAGAAAAACTCTAGAGAGAAGTAAAAGGATACAAACTGGAACTCGCTTAAAATTTCACGGCTTCAAATCCCATAATGGAAAATGATGACTTTCTAATAAGTAATAACCATATATATTTATTTTTAATTGGCATCGACATTGAGCTGAAAATGTTAGTACGTGGTTCATGATTCAATTTTTAACTGTTGGTGAGTCGTGTAGGGACCCTTTCATACTTGTGATTAAAATACATAAAAATTGTATACTAATTAGGGTTAGACGAAGAAGGCAAATAAAGAAATAAAGAAAGGGTTATGGAAGGCGAGTGAAAATGAAACAAAGAGTAAGTAGATGATGGAAAGGTTTTGACCAATTCTTATAGTTGGCCGTCAATACAACAATCAATCATTTTCACCGTAGCAATTTATTGACACTTGCTTATGTAGATGTCGCATATTTGGTTACATATAGTTAGTAGAAGTTTGAAAAGTACCCCATAAATGTACTAAATTAGTTCATAAAATCGCTCTTGCAATATTTTAGAGTCGTCTCTCTTTTATCATTTGTTTAATGTTTCACGTAATGAGCAAATATAAAATGGTCGAATCTTCTCATACAATTGAGTGATACATGGTACAAACTAAATTTATATTTTTATGTTATAATGGATTTGGAGGATTGGTTCAAAAGGGTTGGTGAATTGGATTCATGGATTCAAGTGAAATCTAAATATTGGATCAATATGTACATTTTTAAAAATTGTAGGTACAAAAATCTCATATAATTTAGATAAAAAAACATAATTGTTCAATGATTTTACATTAAAATTAAATTTGGGTATCAAATATAAAATGTACATTATAGTGACTAAGTTGTAATTTAATTAAATTTGGGTATCAAAATGTAAAATGTATAGCCGCCCAATCAGCTGGTGAGTTTAGATAACAGTAAACTCACTTCTCCTTTATATATTAATAATTTATACTATCTAGTATTTTCGGAATTATCAGGATATCTGAGTATTTTTTAGAGAGTTTACGAATGTGATTGGTTATTTTGTGATAGGAGTAACTATAGGTAGTTTAAGATAATTTATCGGGTTATATATTATGACATTCTGGTCTTAATTCAGTTAAACTAATATAGAAGAATAATTATCCATAAACCCAAAATCTTTGGTTGAATTCTCTCTCTATTTTCCTCTCATCATCATCCCCAGTCCCAAGCCAACTCCGTCGACATCCACTTTGTCCTCCTCGACGACGGCTGTGGCCGTGTTAGTGGGCCGCATTGCTACTGGGCCTTCAGCCCACGCCAACGAAAAAAGAGATCTCAATGTTGTGGCAAGGCCAAGAAGTCGGGCATCAGACCGACTTATGCGACCCGTGGGCTCAAGGTATCGAATCGTGAAAATTAAGATAAGTATTGGATCGATGAGCAGTGGCGGAGGGAGGTAAGGAGGAGAGGGGTCCTAGGACCCCACTTGGCAAATAATTGGACAACAAAATCCTTTAAATACATAGGTTTTAGTACGATAATTCAAGTTTAGGACCCCATACTCTCAACGATGTTAGCTCACCAAGGACCCCGGTTAACTCAAAATTCATTAGGTACACAAGCATTTATGTTAGTAAGATTTTAAGGACCCCAGTAGACTCGATGGCTGGCTACGCCACTGTCGATGAGTTGATTTTGAATTTGAGCAATGAAGAGCATATCTATGGTGAGCGCAAGAAACAAACGAAAGATGGTGGTGGGATCACGCCAACTTGGCCCAACCTAGCGGGATGGAGGAGTTGGGCCTGGCCTGGTAGGCCATGATGGGTTGTTAAACCGAGTTGGGATGACTAGAACTCGTCCACCAATCAAATGGGGTTGATTCTATTTGAGTTGGACCAAACCAATTTGATTGAAACCAAATAGGCCGGCAGGGGCATCATGCAGGGGGCTGAAATGCAATAGTGGACTTAGCAGTAATATGCAGTATTTCCCCCTCAAATGACTCCTTGAGCTAAAGATCGCCGAACAGGTCAAGCTATGGAGATTGGGCAAGGCTCATAGTGTTAAGCAGTATGATAGATTTTAGTGTAGTTTGGCCCAATAACATGTATTTTGTATAGCCCATCACACATGCGCACGTCCGACCCAAGCACACGTCAGACTCTCTCCTTTATTATCTTGGCCGAGCCCTAGCTAGGGTTTGGCCCGTATATATACTTTGTAATTATATCCCCAGACGGTTAAGAAATCATATCAGTAGCTCGGAGAGTCTTGAGGCTCTCCCGTGGACTAGTCATGAATTCGTGACTTCGTCACTCTTCACTCTTGATTTCTGTTCAGAACGTCTAACATGATACCAACATACCATCTTGAGTTGTTGTTTTCTTGCTGCTCGATGTTATCTTGCGACATTCTTTAGTCATGGTTTTCTTCAAAGTATGAATGACCCCTACTTGTTCACTCATACTACCTCTCGTGGTTGGGTTGTTCTCTTGCTTTACGTTGATGACATGGTTGTCACAGTGGATGATTCTGCTGGGATTTCTAATCTTAAGAAGAACCTGAAGAATCACTTCAATCTCAAGGATATCTTTTCGTACTTCCTGGGGATTGAGGCTTACAGTTCCTCTCATGGAATTCTTCTTTGTCAGCATAAGTATGTTACTGATCTCCTGGAAGAGCATTGTTTTGGTGGCTGTATTCCAGTTCTTTCTCCTATTGAGCATAATCTCAAGCTCGGGTGCGA